GATCAATTGTGTTAATTTTTGGATAATTTATTTTCATTTGCACGGATGAACATCGTGCCAAGTCTCTTTCGTTATTTATCGTGGATTTTTGGATGTTTTGTCGTTTATTATTGTATACCACTCAGATCGTTTCTTATGTTTGAGCTGTTCTTTTTTTTTCGATATATATAATCTTCTAGATGCTACTAATAACCACTAGCTAGAATTATTATAGACATTTAATTTTTATCTGATCAGATATCTCAATTTTCTTCATTCATTCATATTATTTTTTTGTTCAAAAAAAAGTTTTTAGATTTCTTTAGCTGACTTGCATCCTTGTTTTCCTTTGAATATTTTGCTTTTTTTCAGATATGGACAAAGAAATTCCCGAGTATAGGATTCGAGATGAGAAAGAAGCTGAAGAAGAGCCGGTACCATTTAGTTCGAAAATTCTTGATGATAATATTCACAGTGAAATAGTAAATAATGCAGCGTTTCTGGATTTGGCTTCTTCAGACGATGAATCTATTAATTCTAACGAAATGGCCAGATATGGATTAGATGAAATACCTGAATGTGGAGATTTTGCAAACTGGTACATCCATGAATCGTTTTCACAACCTGTGCAATCGTCTCCAGTACTTGAAGAAACTCAAATAACTACTAACGAACTCGTAATACCTTCAACTTCGCATTATAAGAGAGCTCCGTCGATATGCATAGCACGCTCAGTTTCAGATGGTGCATGTATGGACAAAAAAAGAAGAAAGAGAACAAAAGATGAAATAAAGGCTGAACAGGTTACATTTCGTAATTTTTAAATTATAATCACGTTTTGCAGTTATTCCCAATCATAATTGATGAACTTAGTGATTGTTGTTAGTTGAATATGTCTTTTCAGGTCTGATTTACTTTTCTAATAATTTGAATGAAATAATTGCTATAAATAAAACTGCAGAAGCCTCACACCACTTTTCAAATTAGCACAATATCTGAAAATAAACTTATTTACTATTTTGGAGATGTATAATTGAAAAGTAATAATCATTTTGAAATATATTACAGTGTGGAGCATATATTAAGTTTACAATCCTTTGGATGATGAAGCTCAATACATTATATATGTTAAGTTGCTTTGAATAATTTAGGCTGCGAAAGAGGAAGCCAAGGAAAGAAAGAAACAAGAAAGAATAGCAAAAAAGGTTCGTTCAGCTTTAGCTTCACGAACAAATATCAAAATATTGTTCATGTTTTCTCATATTTAGTATCTGTTATAATGTATTTGACAGTTAAAATATCACAATTCGGTAAGATATGCCATACTTTCTCATACTCTAAGAAATGTTTAAAGTGGCGAGCAGAATCCGTCCATTACAAAAAATTTTACAGTACAAATGTGAAGATATGTTTTCGCTTTTCAGAGGCAAATTGAGCTCGAGAAACAGTTGGCTAGATTTGAACGAGAAGTATCTGCAGCGAAAAAATCGAAATGTGAACAAAACTTGTTCTGTATTATCAGTTTAGATTTAATTGCTGCAATAAGTATGTTGTCATATAGTAACATTGTACGAAAAATGTTATAGCTAAATAACATACAACGTCATTTTACATCTTGCTTACTACGATATATTCTATTGCTTAAAAAAAGTTATCATGCACTGTTGTGATGACAGGCCACTCAGTCGATAAGTATCACAGAATAAATAAAAAGTCCTGATCAGTGCATATTTTTTTAATAATCTCAAGTCTTACCATCTCTCAATTTTCTGACAAAATTTGCCTCGGAAAATTATTACTATGATGAAAAGATATTTTTAATAATATTTGTTTATTGTGGTTACAATATTTGTATAATTACGATCATCAAGGATTTTGAAAAAGTTGTTTTTATAATTTCTTTTGTTGCAGATAATTTAGACGAATTAATTACGAAAATATTCACAGACCGTGGCATCCGTGATCAGCTCCTTTTCGATGGCTTTGGCATGACAACTTGTTGGAAAAGAAGAATTTTGCACGGAGAAGTGGAAAATAACGAATTTATTCGTGGTGAGAAATTGGTTCGTTCTTATTTTATTCAATTTCAATCTCATTTATACCTGCTCATATCGATTTGTTTCTTATTTCTTTATTTCGCTAAATTATTGAAAATACTCAATAACTATATTAAAATATATTCTTAAAAGCTTCATGCAATTAGATATTTTCGTACACTGGAAAATCAGAGATATAAGCAGCAGATATGGATCAAAGTAATTTAACTGATTTAATGCTTGATATCGTAAACTTTCCTCTGGAGTTTGGCTTCCCACTTTACTGTATATTTAGATTTCACATAAGCGAAGGACACATGAGTACCGATCGTTTGAGACAGTTCTGTTTCTGTTTTATTGTATTTATTGTTTTATGTCTGCAACTCTTTGGAAGCTGAAAATTTCGTTTTCCTTGTCAACATTACAGATTACACAAGATTAATTTGTAATTTTTTTTTATCAGCTTTAATATTTAATGGTTTCCTGCAAGAAATATTGCAGATGTACGAGCAGTTCTGCATTTTATCAATGAATGCGCAACGCTATGGTCAATTCAAATCAACAGAAGAAATTGCAGAATTCATTGAAGAGTACTTAAAAAAGTATCCATTTTCATCACCAAAACTTACTCTTGTTGTTTATGGCTTGTTGAAAATGCGAAAAGAAAAAGTAAGTATGATTAACACTAAACTTGTTAAATTAGATGAAACACATATTCAACACTTTTTGCTAGTTTGGTTAATTATGAAATTCTATGCTAATATAGAATAACTAGTCAAATTATGTGAAAGTATATTGACAGATAAAAATTTGTTTTGAATGATAAATTTCAAAACTAACACATTGTTCAGGTAGCAGATTTTGTTTTGGAAATTTTTGAACGTTTTCGGGTTCAAACTCGTTTTATCGCAACGGCAGAAGATTATGCCATGTTTATTTCTCAAATGCATCGATCCATTGCACGAAACGAAAGCCGTTTGGAAGAACAAATTTTGCCGATTGTAAATATTGAGAAAGGCATTACGGAAGTAAGATGTAGTTTATTATTAATTTCATTGTCAATTATTATACTGCTCATTTCTATCACAGGCTCAATGTTTACTTTTCTCTTTTTTATCAAAACTATACTTTTCTCTTTTTTTACAAAACTTTTTATCAAAACGTGATAACACTAACTGAGATTCTTTATTAAAGTAATAATATAATTTTAAATGAACTAAATTTGGACAATCAATTTTTATTTTTACGCTCATATTCACGCACAATCTTTCATGGAATATCTCTTTATACATCTTAGAATTGTTAAAAAATTGATTTCAAAAGCATATGATAAAACGAACAGTAAGATTAATAATAAAAAAGCACAAGTGGATTTGACAGAAAATTGAAATTCATTGTTATTAGGTCTATAATTTACAGGGTGATAATTCAGCCATCATATTTGATTGGTGGATGAAAATGCTAAGCCAGGTGCATCGTATGGGAACCGATGCACAGCGGGCAATTGTAAACACATTTCCGAATCCACATGCTCTTTCGAAATTGTAAGTTTGTTCACCATAAAAGATATTGGCTTTTTTTTCTACGCTTGTTTTTAATTCAAAAGAAACCTCCTTGAAAAGCATCTTCACCAGAGAGAAATTTTTCAGACTTTAAAACATCTAGAACAATTTCATGAGAGATTGCATTTATAGATTTAAATAACTTGGAATATGGTCTAAAATCATCTGAACTCTTAGAATTTACCCAAAATTTACAGATTAAGAACAATACCAATGAAAGAAGGAATGAAATTGTTGGCTGATACGAAGATGGACTATGGTAAAAAAATTGGACCAGTGTTAGCGCGTAAAATCTATCTCATGCTTACAAGTGTCAATGGCAGTGAAATCATTGATGAAAACTGAATATTATTTTTAAGATTGAAAAAATTACGAATATTTCTTCTCACTTATGAAAATAAATACAATTCAGACAAGTGATATGACTTTGACAACAGGCACGACGAGACAAAAACAATAATGTTAAGAAGAAATATGCTAGTAATGAAAAATTGAAGCACAAAATCTAGAAAATATAACAGAATTTAATGTGACAAACTGCAAGATTTGAATATTTCGGCAAAACTATAATTAGTTTGGTTTCTTAAAAAAATAATCTTCAGTTTTATTTTAATTTTAGGGTATTTGATGTAAGAATTTTAATTATCTTCACAAAAAGTTATAGCAATTCAGAATTATCCGTTATGAGGGAAGAATAATAATGTAAGAAATCTTGCACTCGTGGAAGTAAATCTAAAAAGATTAGAAGAAAATATTAACAGCAAATATATCAAAAACAGCAATAAATAGTATAACAACAGAGTTCTAAAAAGAGAAAAATCATTATAGACATTTAATATTGATAGTGAGGATTTGACCCTCTTTATTATGGTTACAAAAGCAGTGTTTCAAATAAATCATGAAGAAACCTTTAATTTACATAATGTCCGACCTTCGGATATTTTTCCTTCTTTACCTAATCCCAGACGTCCTTCTGGAGATGAATAATCAGAACTAGTTGCGATTCCACTGGCATCAGTACTTAAATTCTGTAAATAGTCAAATTCTGCCAGGGCACTTATTTCTTTACGACCAAAACGTCGGAAAGTTGCCTGCCGTACAGCTCTTCGCGGAGGTACAAAGCGAACATTATCACCACGACGTCTTAATTGTTTCTCGAGCAATTCGATAGTTGTCATTTCTTCATCTGACGAAAAACTAGTACCATCCTACAAAAGAGATAGAAAGAATGAATTAGTGAAAATTACGAAATAAGCTTATAATCTACAAATCTTATGTGTCCAAGACACTACATACTTGCTAAATTCGAAAACAATCTTAATCTTAAATCCTTCCATCATCCACACTTTTCAGTAATTCATTCCTGTTTATAAAAAGTCACCAACCAAGCTTTCAGAAAGTAATTCTCCACGAGTAGGTAAATGGGTTAATTGTAGTAGACATTCCTGTGAACCGTTTTCAAGTTCAGTTGTTGAAACCATCGATGGTAATTCGCTATCCGAATACGAACGCCTCAAAGGACTATACGGTGATTTCACGCATGATTTTTCACATGTAGCCATCTGCTCTGGAGCTACATTAACCTTAAAAAAATTAAAACTAATCAGACTGAGTTTTTTATGTTCAGTTTTTTTGGTCCTGTCTCCTTTCTTAGCATTCTTCCATTGATAATTTGCGAAATTTAATAGAAAATTCCAATAAAAGACAGATGACACTATGACTGAGATTGATAAAAAATTATTTAATATTTTGGATAAAAGAATTCAGATAACTCAATGCTCAAAATATTGAATAGTTCAGTCTAGCATTCGCATGTCAGATTTAACAATAAAAAGTGCAGAAAAAATGACCTTCATAGATGGTGAAGAAGTTCTTGGTGATGGTGCAGCTGGCGGTGTACTACATCTTTTACTACGGAAACTTTTCACTTCATCCGGTGCATCACTAATATTTGAAGTAAATGAATCGTCGTAAAGATTTGCATTAGAATGTGTGAGTGCACAGAGCGCTTCGCCAGCACCAACAATCGTTGAACCACATGACGGACAACTAACATTGCCCATACGTTCCACTTCACGATACTGATTATTTCTAAGTTGATTTTGCAGACTAATCTGAAGAAAATAAATTCTGTAAAAATTCTAAGTGCAGAAAAAAGAAATGGAATTCCTCTCAAGAAAAAAAGAATTATTGCCTCCAATTATCCTTTAATAGCACTAAATAAACTGTAAACAGATTTCCGATAAAAATGCTGCAAAAAATTTTCTTGAAAACATTTCTCACAATAATTATATCTGATTCGTGTAACTGTTTTCTCAAGTTTGTATTCTTCCGTCTTTCTTGATCAATTCCTCGTTGCATATGCATAACAGCTCGACTAGCCTTCTCCAAATAGCGCCTCATATGATCTTTTTCTTTCTGGAAAAATAGCAAATTCGTCTGCATCTGGTATTTCATTTTTGCACAACGTATGATCAGTTCTCTGAAGTCAATCATTTACTATTTAATTAATGCCCTAGAAGGCCATAATAATTTAGTCAACTAATTATTAACCTGTATAGCAACGACTTGTCCTTTGAAATAATGTCGTTCTTCTTTTAAGCGTTTCCTTAGTTTACGTATTTCAAATTCGTATTTCTGAATCTAAAAATCGAAATTTTGTTTAGAAAGATCAACACAGAGTTACTTCAGTCTATAAAAAGTTCATTTTCTTCGAAATTTAACGAAAATCATTTTCTCTACAAATTTTTGTCTCTGGATCTGAAAAATTATCATTTCGTACAGAACTGTAAAACAGAAAATATTTCCCCATTCCTGTTTTTAGTTAACATTAACAAACTTCGGCCTTGAGTTCAATGTCAGCTTTGGACTCCAAAAATGGTAAAGGAGCACTCTGCGAACTCTCTGTTGGACTCGGATCAGCGCTACCATATTCAGATGTTTTTACTTCAGCATCCATATTTCTGACATCAGCTGCTATTCCAGCACTTCTGAAATCACCATGACGATATTAACATAAATGCAGAGCTGAATTAATTATATTAGTCATGCCTCTGTCCATACTTGAGTAAGGCAAAGCAAAATTAATACAGGTTTTACAAAACAATATATCTAATAAAACATTAACATTAGTTATTCGAATAAATAACCAAAATAGGAAGAGAGAAGATAATCTAACATATGAAGTGAAACGAACTTGCTTTCAACCGAATCGTATTTTTTATTGTTAGATGATTTAATCGGGAAAATGGAAACTCCTCCAGGGCATGATCTCGTTTGTTTTCCCTTCTTTGGTGCTGTAATAACAGAATATGGCGCTGATGGTCGAGTCCATGATGCACCGCTTATATAGATAGCTTCCTTATCGGATCGCCAAGAAGGAATTGGTGAACAGCATCGCAACGAACGACGCGAAGACTCCTTACGGTTCTACAATGGAAAAAAAAGATTATTTAGAAAACAAATAATATTGAATTAATTGACAAACATACACAATTTTTGTTTATTTGAGGAAAATATCTTTATTTAAAGTGCAAATAAACCAGAAAGAACTTATTTGCTCAGCAAATATTATATATACCTATATATACTCGACAAGTTTCGTCTTTTTTTACAGCAGAAAATGCATGGATTTCATAATATATCATAAAAATCATGAACCGAATTATTTTGTATGCTTAATCCCGATTAACGGTATATTTTTTCTCAATACAGATATTCGGACCGCACACTACATGTTTTGAGCCATAAGCTCCTGAATTACAATTCTTCATTTCTGATCGAGACATGGAAGTTACTCCGGTAAGCAAAAAAAGATAGTAAATGCGAAAGGGGTAGAGAAGTAGGGAAAGTTATTAGAATATAAAAATTAGAATATAAAAATTAGAGTGTAAAAATTAGAATATAAAAATTAGAATATAAAAATTAGAACATAAATTAGAATATAAAAACATTTAAAACATCATTATAATAAATCGTAAACTTACAAGACCATCATAATCTTTATGCTTTCTGAAGCGAAATATTTTGATCAACGATGATGCCATTTCATTGCATAGCTTTCATTCAACAACAACAAAAAACTTTTACATATGACCTGAAATGAAATATTTCAATAATTGATGTTAACACAAAGTCAAACATAGCGATAAGAACGTCACAGCACTAAATATGATATAATAAATGCTTTGTAAGTAGAAACTTTACAGTATGCTGCAGGATATCTAACTTCTTCCATATAATATCTGGATATTTCCATATAACTTTTCATGAAATCTTATTATTGGAGTACCATACATGAAATAGCAATTCACCACCAGAAGCTGATTTAAGAACTTTTGATGAAATCCAGAAAGTACTAAAACATATCCGTTGGAGTATTTTGGTACCACGATGTGACTCGAGAATATTCAGCTACCATAATGAACTTAATCAAAACTTCATGGTACCAAAATACAACTCCACAACTAATCAACATTTCCCCGCACTGTAATACAATACAAATAATTCTTGGATTCAATTAAACAAGCATTACTGATGAATACATTTTTTAATAGTCATCTCCAAATAAACCCGCCCCACATACCTTACAATTTTGATCCGCTGCAGGATGCATCCTTCTAGTAGAATCTTAATAAATCAAAAAAATACTATTGTACATTAGATATGGTTTAATTCGAAAGCTCATAAAATAGGCAGTACATTTATCATTTCGAATTATTTCTAAAAGATTCAATCACTTGATAAAAACTATTTATTCGATAATCGAATAAATAATCAAATAGTTTAAGTGATCAGACAAACTGGGACATGATAACAATTTGTCCGACGAACAGCTTCAATAACAGAATAATCCAAATTATCAGACAATCGAAATGATCAGACTATAAGGATGGCGGGTAAATTGAATGGCCTGATAAATTGAATGACCAGTTGAGTGATAAGACAAACTAAGTAACCGAGCAGTATGAATAATTCTGCTCTTCTCGACAAGATTAAAATTAAACGAGCAACGGACGTCACAGCCTAACAAACACGGTCACGAAATACAACGATGGCCGCAGAACAATTTTCCAACGGTAGCGAAATAGACGCAATGAATTGCGGCAATTTAAACTGGGGAATTTTTCAAAAAAAAATGTATGATTTCACCGCGTTATGCAGAAACAAATGCTTCGTTGATAATATTTTAACCTGATATCCGTGGCAATTCATCGATCACGTGCAAATACCGATGTTGATAGATTAGATGTAAAAGTGACAGTTAACAAATTATACATAAACACAATTGCAATAGTTTACGAATTATACGTAATAGTAACAGTTTACAAATTAATGGTAATAGTACCAGTTTGTAGTTAAAAATAAAAAGTTAGCATTAAAAAAATTGTAATTTTATTTTAATACACGGTTGCAAATTCCATTTATAAATTTATTTTGCAAATTACAATTTCTCAAAAATCAAATATTTTATTGATTATTGATTTGAAAATTTTTTTTTTTTTATTTTGTTTTCGTATATTCTGACTTAGCTATTGATGAAGCAATCTCTTTAGTTATATCTTTCCGACACAATTAATTTATGCCATTCATCTGTCAATCCAAACTGTTCATTTCTTCTTTCACTTATTCATACATTGATTCATTCATTAATTTAGATCAATCATTCATTCATTCATTAATTTAGATCAATCATTTATTCATTAAAATGAAAAATGAGATGTCACGTAATGACGTGACATGTCATGATATGCATATAAACCGCAATTATCCAATTTCTTAATGGATGGTTCAGTTAGTTAATGAAATTCTAATCAAATGTTTTCTTTGCTTTATGACTTCCAACATTTCTTCATTCATTCATTCTAAAATAATGTATTTTTGTAATATTTTTGCAACTTTTTAGCCTTTTTTTTTCTTTTTAAATTATAGAACAAAGAACACCGTTTGAATTAAGTTTTTGTTTAAATTTTTCATCATTTCTTATTTTTTCCACTTCCTATTTTCTTAATTTTTCTCAAAAATTCATTGATATTTCATTCTTATTTTTCATATTTTTCTTTTTAACTTTTACTTTTCATCGTCTTTTTATGATAATAAAAGTTCTCTTAGACACATTTTTATTTTTTTAATTTAATATATTTTTCCTAAAATAATACTTCAAGATTATATATTAGCAATTAAAAAAGTGGAATAAAAAAGAAAAAAAAAATGTTTCAAACAGAATTTCATTTTTTTGACGAAAAAAAAACTAAAAATACAAAAAAATGACAATTAGGACAGATTACATGTATAAATCACGTAAAGGTAGGATATAACATTTCAAAAAAAGTCGAATTTTCTCAAATAGTTCAAATGAATATAGCGAAGAAATTCTATTGCTAAACTAAAACTGACCCAAATTTTTATAGTTTTATAATAAGGTTAAAATGGAAAATCAATGTAATTTAATAAATGCTATTAGGAAGGCATACATACTATTTTCAGCTTTATTCCTTGGAGGATTACAGTTCACTATCCTTTCAGCTATTTTTCAAGTAATATATGTCCATGTGTTTCGTTGTTTTTTTTTTTTTTGTGTATAAAATATCTTCCGCTAATTATAATTTTCATATATTAGCTACTATTTTTAAGCTTAAAATGGATGTTATAACCTTTGCTTATAGCATTAATGTTGAAGCCTATAAAACCAAGGAAAAAATTTCGCCTAGCCAAAAGCGATTAATTTCATCGTTTTTTTTTTTCGGCTTGATTCTAATATTTTAATCATATTTAGTCTCTTTTTTTTCTCAACTTACCTAAATCATTTCTTTTCTAATTTCACTCTCAACCAAACTATCCCAATCAATTAACCATTAAACCAACCATATCCCATCCCATTCCTTATTAGTTAATTTTCAATTTCAAATTAATGTATAGCTGACCGGATATCCATCCAATCATTACTACCACATACCCAAATACATTTCTTATTAGTTTTAAAATTGCATTTTTTTTTGGAAATTTATGGTATTTTGTGAGGAAAATAGAAATTTATATTGATAAAATGTGAAATAAAATTCTTACAGTATAAATAAAAATATGTCAAATCGATGTGAACAATAATTTTAGTTCAGAATTAACAGGCATAGTTGTATTTAAAAATGGCACAAATTGGAGAAATTACTGATAATGTTTTGTATTGACTATCGGATTATTGAATTAATCGAAATTTTCTGAGATTTTCAAACTGTTCCGTGCAGATTAGAATAACTTTTTTAAAACATATTATAATTTCATGCAATCTTCAAGTTGGTTTTTTTTTTTGGGTTTCCTGAGTTTTTTTTCAGAAATTATGAAATTGAAAAATAAAACTTTTTCCATGGGGCGAAATTCTTTTTTTTCTTTTTTATTTTTTTAGTATCAGTTAGACTGTTGTAATTTTGGCATGCAAATTTGAAATTTAGGAAGATTGCAAACAAATTTTAAACAAAAATAAAAGATTCATTAAATAGATATAAATTTTCATAGATTCAATGATCAGTTTTTTCAAGAATATGCTAGGGATAAAGTTACTCAAATGAGACACTGTTTGCTTCATTCCTTCAATTAAACTTGTTTATTTTTAAAATTTAAGAATTATGCAGTAACACTTTGATCATTAGTGATAAAATGACGAGAATAATTAATTGTTGAAAATCTTTGATCGAGGAGCATATTTTATATAATTAATCATTATATCTTTTAGATAATTAATCATTATATAACAAATGACTCCAGTTTGAAAAATTTTCACAGTTTGAATTATATTTGCTTAACACAATAACACGAAATAAGAATGGAAATTGAAACACTGAAAAAAAATTTATTGAAAAAAATCACAAAAAAATTGCAGAAAAAATGTTTGAAACTAAATTTCTTTCCAAACTTTCTGTATATTTACTTTACATTAATTTATTCCAAATTTCTTGTTCATTTCAAAGTGGTATTTCACAAAGCATAGAGCATTTTGAAAGTTGAAGCAAAACGAAGCTTCATCTTTCATTTTAAGCTGTTTACATCAATTCATAAATTTATCAACAGAAATAAGCTTTCAGAATTGCATTACTCTATCTTCACCTGTGTGTGTTTTTTCTCTCATTTGCTTACGATCTTTTGATACAATATTTTTTTTCACCTTTTAACAGCATATCATTTGTACGGTACTTTTGGTACAGTAATTTTTCATCTTGTACCATATTTTCAATACAGTATTCCCTTTCATCTTTTTATGATACACCATCATGGATAGTATTTTTGGTATAGTGTTTCTTTTCATCTTACAGTATTTCGCTTCATCCTTTCAGAGAATATTAAATTCCAGATCTTGTAAAATGAACCTAGAAAGGGTATTCTGATTACGATAGTACGATAAATCATTTATTTCATTATTTTTACTTAAGTAATATATTTAAACTTTCTGTTGATAGTTATAAAATTGTTCATTTGAATTTTTTTCTTTTTTCATAATGAAAATATCATTCTTTGTGAAACTTTTTTAACAAAAAGTTTTCATATTTTCAAAAAAGAAAATGTATCATTTAGATTGGAATGGATTGATTAATGAGTAGAAAAGTGTAGTAAAAAATGATCGACTGAATGATAGAAAGAAAGCAAAGAGTAAAATGGAAAACAATGAATGAATTTAAAATGAATAATAAAATAATTGATGAATGAAATGAATGAATTGAATTTGAACTAAACTGAACTGATTGAATATTATCCGTTTTTTTTTTCTTCACTGTTCTTTAGTTTCTTTTCATCAGTTATTCGACAATTAGTCTATTCATTGTTTTCTTTGCTTCTTTCTTTCTTCCTCTCTCTTTCGCCAATTTTTTCCTTTCGTTTTTTTCTTTTTTTTTTTTTTTTTCTAATAGCATATAAGGAAAGCTTAAGCACTGAGCTAAACTGAACTTCGCTCGCAAATTCCTTCAATTTTCAATTCTGCTCCATCATTTCTCCATTTCTTCTCTTATGTGTGGCAATAGCAAATGCTTCCTTGCAAGCTTATCCTTCCTAGTCTAAACTATCGATCGAAATGTGTTGAGAAATGAAACTATGCGTTAGTTCATCCATCCCATTTTACATATATACTTTTTATATTCAATACATCAAAATATATATCACTACAGGAAGGGATAAATATCTCTCTCTCTCTCTCTCTCTCCTTTCTCTCTCTCTCTCTCTCTCTCTCATTTATTTCTTTCCTCTTTATTCCTCATTCCGCTTCCCTGTTCTTTGCGATTCTTTCATTTATCTTTCAATTTCATTCACTTTTACTTTTTACTCACAACTTGACAACCAAATTTTTATAGACTTTAACGCTATCATTAAAAAATTCCTTCTATCATTGTCAATTTTATTGTTTCCTTTTTTTTCCTAAACTTATTTTAATCTTTTTTGTTTTCTTTATAAATTAATAAATTTTCATAATAGAGATTTGAAAATTGTGGTACGTATGTTTAAAGAATATTTTTATGAAAAAGAAGAAAAAAAAGAGAAAGAATGTAAATGTAAATATGTTTTGAATGAAAAATTGATTGTTATCTGATGGAATGAATATATATTTTAATGTTTAACTGCTATGAATTTATATAA